TATGTTAAAAATTATAATTGCTAAAAATAACATTTATTTATGTATTAATTCGTTTGTTTGAGTAAATGTAAATTATATATATATATATATATTTTTACAAATGCAGATTAGTTGGTTTGATTTGTTGTCCACGTCAATCACAGCGTCAGTACAGTTAGAATAACTCTGCTATTAGACAGAGTTTATTAATTAAAACATGACGGTGTTATTAAGACAGAGTTTATTAATTAAAACATGAATGTGTTATTAAATATTAAAACCGAGCTCACGCTGGAACCGTCCAGAAGAGTCGCCGGTGTTCGAGCAACCACCGCTTAACCGTGCGAACACCGGTGAGTAAAACAAGCGTACCATTGCGCTCCACTTCAAAATAAAAGCCTCTCACGCAAATTAAATCCAAACTTTGCATAATGTGGTGGGAGAAAAAAAAGTACTGACTGTGTTTGCTGTTTTATTTTTGTATTTTTTTTTTAATTAAATAAGCAGCTAAACTCGTAAGAAATTTAAATTATAACGGTTGAAACGGTTGAAACGGTAAAAAAAACGCACGCACGCACGTTCTCTGGATTCCTAACGTGACGTACGTCCTGGCGCCCGGTCAGCTAGCCTCTCTGAGCTAACGAGCTAAGTTGTTGTAGTTAACCGCGGACACCGGAGTCGGTTAACGTTAACTAACAGCTGGTAACTAACGTCTTTCTGCCCCCGGTGACTGTCAGCAACGGACATGGACGACGAAAGCCACCCCAAAACCCTGTGAGTAACCGTTAAACGTCTTTTAACGGCTAACGGTTGGTAGCGTCGGTAACGGTTGGTAGCGTCGGGAACCGTTGGCTGTCTCTGCTAGTTAGCTCAGTTCCCCGCTGAAAACACACAAAAAAACACACAAAATAAACATTTAAAGGCACATTAAAGAGCCGCTGCGGGTCCTGAGGTTAAATATAAACTCATATCATGAGTGCGGTTCGCTCCAACGTGAGCTAACAGCTGTGTACCGCTGCTAAAAGGGCATTTTAATAACAATAAATAACAATAAATGACAATAAATAACGTTTTCCCCTCCAGGTATGTGGGAAACCTCTCCAGGGATGTGACAGAGATTCTGATTCTGCAGCTCTTCACCCAGATTGGACCTTGCAAAAGCTGTAAGATGATCACAGAGGTAAAGCAGACACGGTTTGTTTGTTTTTTTATCACCCTGTTTGTTTGTTTTTATGATTTATTCCACCTTTATTCAGGTCTAAAGTGGTTATATAATCCTCCAGTTCAGCCTCACACTATGAGGGAAATACTAATAAATGTAATAAAACAAAAACTCACTCTGCTGGAGGCTGTTTGATCATTAGAGACGCTCAAACACAGGTTTAATATTAATTTATTAGTCAATTTAGTGAAGTATTTGTGGAGGATAGTCAGAATTATATAATCTGTGGAGCCATTATTTGTTTAAAATGTAAACCCCATGAGCATTTATACATAAAATAGGAATAAAATAGGTGTTTTTATAGGTTAACACAAAGATATTCAGTTTACTGGCTAAATAAAATGGAAAATATTCACATTTGAGAAGCTAAAATTAAAGAAATGTGGACGTTTTTTTTAGTTTCACAGTTAATTGCAGTTTATCCAAATTGCAAGAAGCTGCATTTTTATGATAAAGGTAAAAAGGTAGTGCTCCTGGCCTAAAAACCTCGTTCTCCACATGTGAGACAACAGTTTTTGACAAGAAAATTAAAATTGTGACGCAAAAATGAACATTTACATCGACCGTGAATCAAAACAATCACAATATGTTTGTTGTTTTAACGTTTTGTGGTTAGATAACTGTGAAAAATGTCCTGTTTTCGTCACAAATCACTAAATAAACTGGGAAAATATTCACATTTGAGAAGCTGAAATTAAAGCACATGGTGCAATATTTTAAAAAAAAGTGACGAAAACAGCAAAATAATAAAGTCCTGAGATTCTCCACGCGTAAAAATACACAAACTAATGTCACACCATCATGATTTTAATAGTTTTTTCTAGATTGTGCCGCAGAAACGATCTTTTACACTAACGGATCAGAACGTTTGAAGCTGTGCGTTTGTCCCTCAGCACACGAGCAACGACCCGTACTGCTTCGTGGAGTTCTTCGAACACAGAGATGCTGCTGCGGCTCTGGCGGCCATGAACGGGAGGAAGATCTTAGGAAAGGTTTGTCCGCTCTACGATAATCAACAACAACAACAACAGTTTGTTTTCTGAAGGTGGTGAATTAACTTTGTTGCTTTCAGGAGGTGAAGGTAAACTGGGGCCCAAGTCCCAAGCAGCCAGAAGAAAGACACGTCCAGTGAGTGTTTGTTTTGTTTTATAATCCGCTCGTATCACAGTTCGTGGATCGGTAAGTGATTTCTCTCCTGTGTTTCTGTTTCTTTAGATCACTTCCACGTTTTTGTGGGTGATTTGAGCCCTGAGATTTCCACTGAGGACGTGAAGGCTGCGTTCGCACCTTTTGGGAAAATCTCGTAAGTTTTCAGTTTAAACGGTATTTCTCCTCCTCGTGTTCGTACAGTAATTTAAATGTTACAATTAAAGCATGTTGGTTCCTCTAAAGTCGGGTATATTGAGGTTTCTCATACTAATAATCTCCAGTCAGTCTGAATATTGCCATAAAACATTAAACATGTGAAAATATAACTAAGTTGATTTATTGTTGAAAATAATGTTGTTTTGTTTCTTCATGAGTTGAAACACACTGAAGCTTTTGTTCCTTCTCGAACAGTTTATGAGCTTCGTCTGGCAGTTAAAGTCTTTGGTTTTAAGGATCAAAAGCAACGTCAACATCAACACCTCCGTCTCTCTCTCTCTCTGTCTCCTCTCTGTCTCTCTCTGTTCTCTCGTCTCTCTCTTTGTCTCTCTCTCTCTTCTCTCTGCTATCTCTCTTCTCTCTCTTCTCTTCTGTCTTCTGCTCCTGATCTCTCTCTATGTCTCTCTCATCTCTCTCCTCCTCTCCTCTCTCTCTCTCTCTGTCTCCTCCTCTCTCTGTGTCCTCTCTCTGTCTCTCATCTGCTGTCTCTCTCTGTCTCTCTCTCTCTTCTCTCTCTTCTCGCTCTCTCTCTGTCTCTCTCTCTGTCTCTCTCTGTTCCTCTCTCTCTCTGCTTCTCTCGTCTTCTTCCTCCTCCTCTGTCCTCTCTTCTCTCTTCTCTGTCTCTCTCTCTCTCTCTCTCTGTCCTCTCTCTCTCTCGTCTCTCTGTCTCTCTCTCTCCTCTCTCTGTCTCCTCTTCTCTCTCTCTCTGCTCTCTCTCTGTCTCTCTCTCTCTCTTGTCTCTCTTTCTCTTGGTCTCTCTCTCTCTCTCTCTCTTCTCTCTCTGTCTTCTCTCTCTCTCTTCTCTCTCTCTCTCTCTGTCTCTCTCTCTGTCTCTCTCTTCTGTCTCTCTCTTCTCTCTCCTGTCTCTGTCTCTCTCTTGTCTTCTCTGTCTCTCTCTCTCTCTCTCTCTCGTCTCTCTCTCTCTCTCTCTCTGTCTCTCTCTCTCTGTCTCTCTTCCTCTCTCTCTCTCTCTGTCTTCTCTCTCTGGGTTCTCTCTGTCTCTCTCTGGTCTCTCTCTGTCTCTCTCTCTCTCTTGTCTTCTCTCTTCTCTCTGTCTCTCTCTCTGTTCTCTCTCTTCTGTCTCTCCTGTCTCTCTCTGCTCTCTCTCTCTGTTCTCTCTCTCTCTCTCTGTCTGTCTCTCTGCTCTCTCCTCTCTCTGTCTCTCTCTTCTCTGTCTCTCTCTGGTCTCTCTCGTCTTCTCTTTCTCTTCTCTGTCTCTCTCTTCGTCTCCTCTCTGTCTCTCTCTCTCTGTCTCTCCTCTCTTCTCTCTCTCTCTCTCTCTGCTCCTCTTCTCTCTTGTCTCTCTCTCTCCTCTCTCTCTGGTCTCTCTCTCTCTCTCTCTGTCTCCTTCTCTTCTCTTCTCGTCTGTTCTCTCTCTCTCTCTCTGCTCTCTCTCTCTCTCTGTTCCTGTTCCCACCCAAAAAACTGTATAAATAAATTAAATTAAAGTTTCCAGTTTTTTACAACCGGATAACTTTCAGTTCCTAAAGGCGATAAGCCCGATAACACCGGTTTTGACGGGGTTTGGAAGCCTCGTGGTTACTTTTACCTTCCTCGCTTAGAACTTGCTGGTCGAAACATTTGTTGCAAATAAGAAGCGACCGTCTTCTTCAACAACTTTTGAAACACACACCAATCGAAACGTGAGCAGCTGTGCGTGCGTTAGTTCCCCGTTCCCGCCCAGTCGCTCTTCGGGGGGCCCTCTTTAAGCTTCATGGTTTCTGCTAGCAGCTGGCTCGGGATGAATCGAAAAAAATCATAATCACGATTATTTGGGGTCAAAATTGAAATCACGAGTTATTCAAACGCATTCTTTTTTTAAACTTCAGAAAACTTATTGGACATTTGGTCAGAATACACCTTTACCATTGAAGTCCTCAGTTGAACGCCCAGTTCCTTTCCCCGTAGAACATTGCTAAGCTCTCCTCGTTAACCCTGTTTCAAACGAAAAACGACGCCGGGACAGGGGAGGACGACTGGCAGCGAGTGTCGCGAACCGCAGCAGCGACAGTATAAAATTGTTACGCGGAGTAACCGAGCGCATGACTCGTGTGCAGGAGCGACACAGACTGTAAACAACAAGCACAACAGAAAATGAAAATAAAAATCGTTTCCCCCGATTTTATTAGTTTTGAGAAAATCACGATCAAATTTCGATGAATTGAGCAGCTTTATGTTTCTATTGTTCTTGTGTAAAAAGTTAAAAACACTGTGGATATCAATTCAAGTCAGCAACTACCAAAATGACCGAGTTAACGAGTTCTTTTCCGACATGAGGGGGTATTCTTGAATTTTCCCAGTCAGAAAGAGTTTTTCTGTATGCTCCCTATAAATGTCCCAAACAACACGTGTGAATACTGAGAGACTCAAACTGTGAAGGGGAAACAAAAGCTTTACAGGTTTAGACTGCTGATGTTTGAAACCTTTTTATTTCACATTATTTATTGTTATATTCACACCTTAGAGAGAATACAAGAGCAGGTAGAGAAACTGCTTCTAAGTTACTTCTTGTGAGATGTTTAGAGCTCAACAATCAGTAAATACAGTTTAATCTTTGCTTCATCTTCATGTTAAACTCATATAATGTGTAAAAAAAAACACGACATTAATGCATGTAAACATTTTAAAGCGTCACATGAACCTCTCACCATCGTTTGTGTTTCTGTTTGTTTTTAAAAAACACTTTAACAGACTTAATTTAATTATTAATTACCAACAGTAAAGTGTTTTACTGCAGTTACTTACTTGTGGTCTTTGTATTGTGTCTCTCTGTTTGTTTTAACGACTGGAGTGTCAGCTTTTAGCCTACTCTTGCTTTTATTTTGCACATTTAGGGTGTGGTAAGTAAACTTGTGTGTTTGAACCTGAACAGCTTTTAGTTGTGCGTCTCAGTGAAGTAATAGCACTTTGGTTATTTTACAGAAATGCTCATAGGATTGGACAGGAGCTTGAAGGCTAACAGCAAGGAACTGTGCACTCTGGAGACTCAGATGTAGTTTTTTTTTCTCTATTTATTCCATTCTTCTTTCCATATGTCTTTATTTGTAGATGCTATGTGTTTAACAATGATCTTAGCTTAGATTAACAAATTCCAACACTCAATGTATTCCTCTTTTTGCTCATTTTGATTTGCATAGTGTTGTTTGTAGTGCTCATCCTCTTCCAAAATCTCTGAAAATGTCAATTTCTCAAAATTTGCAGCTTCCCCCCCCCCAAACTCCATATTGGTGGTAAAGAATTGACCAGGAAAAATAAAGAAATCTGTTAACAGGCCATGTATGCCTTTTAATTCCTTTTTTCTCTTTTGATATTTTTCTATATATTTTCTGTTTGTAGGCAGCTTTTTAAGAATGCATGGTAATCCGTATAATCTGTTCCTGTGTGACTTTAAATCAGCACCCTGCTGTTGACTGAACAACAGGTGGTGCTCTAGTGGCAAAAGATCATTAATACATCTAAAAACTACGTATTTTAAAAACAATACTGTAGGCTGCATGTATTTGTACTTGTTTTTTTTTGTTGTTTTCAAGTTGCTTTTGATCTTTTATATTACGAGTCAGTGCTCAGTAGGTCATGATAGCTAATGTACATTAACGTAGGCCAGAGTAGAGGATTTACAGTTCAGTGTGTTTTGCGTGGTTCCTTTTTTTTTATTTATTTTTTTTAGTTTGAAGTTTTTACGCTGTTAAGTCGTTCTGAAGTTGTTCTCACGTTTCCCCTCCAGGGACGCCCGTGTTGTGAAGGACATGACGACAGGCAAATCAAAGGGGTATGGATTTGTGTCCTTCTACAACAAACTGGTAAGGCTCCAGTGCAAGAACACAGACTGAAGGTTATTTCTATTTTCTGTTTATTATCCTACTTTTAACGCATTTTAATACAGTAAATGTAATTAATCATAGTCGAAAACAACTTAAATCGTCTAACGTTGCAGTTAGTACGTTTCTTGTTTCAACAGTTTCAGTAAAACTTAGATTTTAAAAGCAGTAATGTGTAGTTTGATTACTGATTATGGTCCCTATTGAACATGACAGACTCGTCACATGCAGATTATTAACGGTCTTTGATTTGGATTTGTAGGATGCAGAGAACGCCATCATAAACATGGGAGGTCAGTGGCTCGGAGGGCGCCAAATCAGGACCAACTGGGCGACGCGGAAACCACCGGCTCCGAAGACCGCCCAGGACAGTACGTTTTAAAGCCTCCTGCTCCACAACAGGAGGTTTTAGTCAGTCCCTCCAGAAAAATGCGATAATTCAACGCATAATCGGCCAAAGTCCGCATATTTATTCAAATACGCCGCACTTTTGCCGCATAAATTGCCGATTTCCGCGCAATATATGTGGGGCTTGCATGATTTCATAATCAATTTGCATTTTCGTTGCAAAAAAGTCACATTTATCTTCGCAGAAAGTTGAAAAATTATATTTTATTTATTCATTTTTACAGAAGTTGTAGCAGATTCCTTTTGTAAAGCTGCAGTAGCTACAGAGTTGTTTGACTCATCAGTGTTTTTGTATTAAGGTCTGAAATAAAACAAGATTAGAACTTAAATATTCTCAGCACTTTCTGTGAATGATGTTTGTTTCTCATAAGAAGTAATAAGAAATGAACTCTTTACATTAACGGTTGTAGCCTCGTTCGAGACTAGGGAATCAACTTTTTATAAATCTTTCATCAAACCGTCAGTTTTTGGAAAGTTCACCACAACTTTCATCCGCATAAAATTGCATAAATATCTCGGCATATTTCATCGCATTTTTTAAGAAAACGGCCGCATAATCCAAGGATTTTACTCGCAGCAATAAACTCCACATTTTTCTGGAAGGACTGTTTAGTTATTGTGGACGATCAGAGCTCCTCTCGTTAACCGCCCATTCATTTAAACGTGAAACACGGCGGGAAACTTTAGCTTCTGCTCGTGAGTTCACCCACTTCCTTCCCAAAAACTCTTCGATGTTTGAGAGAGAGGAAATAACTGCAGTGTTTCATCAGTAACATAGATTTAATCTTCATCAAAAACAGTCGAATAAAGGTAGAAAACGGTTTCACCTTCAAGACGAT